CTTTCTAAACAGGCTCTCCCCAGCCTTCCTGTAGGCTCCCTTCAGGTACTGGAAGGCTGCTATTAGGTCACCCCGGAGCCTCCTCTTCTCCAGGCTGAACAACCCCAGTTCCTTCAGCCTGTCCTTGTAGCAGAGGTGCTCCATCCCCTTGATCATCCTTGTGGCCCTCCTCTGGACCCTCTCCATCAGGTCCATGTCCTTCTTGTATTGAGGGCTCCAGACCTGCACACAATACTCCAGGTGAGGTCTCACCAGAGCAGAGTAAAGTGGCAGAATCACCTCTCTGGACCTGCTGGCAATGCTTCTTTTGATGCAGCCCAGGATGCAATTGGCCTTCTGGGCTGCAGCTGCCCACTGCCTGCTCATGTCCAGCTTCTCGTCCACCAGCACCCCCAAGTCCCTTTCCTCAGGGCTGCTTTCCAACACCTCACCCCCTAGTTTGTATTGGTATCAAAATGCTCAAGAGAGGAATTTGGAGAAACAAAAGATGTCCAGAAATCCCTGCTGTTCAATCAGGTGTTATTGGCTGGTTTGGTGTCCCCCACACCGATGTGATGGGAATCAGCTTCTCTTAAAATAAAATTTATGTACAAAGATACATTTTTCATCTGTACCAGAACTTTTCCCTGCTCACTGCCACTAAGGTGTGGGTAAAAGCCACACTATATCCACAGCACAGGTTTCACTTCTCTTTCAGTTAAAACAATTGGAAGTGAGTCCAGATTCAGTCATTTCATGTGTATCAGACTCCCTGGGTATGGAAAACAAAGAGGAAACTGCTGACTGATTCTGAACGGCTTTCTTAAGGAAGGAAATACAACTAAGGAAGGGAAAGAGCACTAACAGTTAAGAATAAAATTATGGAAGAATAACTAAGCTTCCTAAAGAGCTGCAAAGTAGCATTGGCTGCAAGAGCTAAAGTGGGAAAACCATGAGGATGTGTTCAAACTCATCCTCGGGATGGGGGAGAGACCTGAAGGAAAGCTCAGAGCCCAGGGAGGAAGGGTGAACCTGCTTCTGTTTCTAGTAAGAGGAAAATAAAGTTGTTTTCAGTTCAGTAGCATAAAGAACAAATGAAACTGCTGTGGGTGGAACTCCAGAGACAAAAGATTTACTGGTACTCTTGGCTGAAAGGGTGGAGGGAGATGCTTCTTGCAAATACTCCTGAGAAATAATCAGCACAAATTCCTCAAATTAAGGCAAAATCAGGTAATAAGGTTCCTCAGGTTTCTCTCTTTCCCTCTGGAAGTACAAGACATGGTTAGATCTGCTTTGAGAGGCTGCAGGTGTCCTCTGTCAAACTCCATCAGTGGTCCAATGGTATAAATACTAATTTGGAAGCTCAGAAGGATTGCAAGGACTAACTCCATCCAGGGGGAGAATTGGAATGCTTCCGTTCTGCCAGGGACTCTTTGGAAAAATCTCAGAAATCACCTATAAACGGGAGCATCAAGAATGAAGACAAAACACTATTTGGCACCTTATGACCCTTCTGAGTATCACGTAAAGTCCGTTGTGAACACTACAAATAGATGGCACGTTTTTGTGCACACGTGTAAAATATGAGCCTGGGGCCTGCTCTGCTTTTAGGAAAGTGAAACTCTCCTACATTGCCCAAGTGTGAGCGAGACGTGACAGATCGGGTGTGATCGGTGAAACCCTGACGTGTCAAACCTCATCCGCCACATGACTTGCATTCTCCCCCCAGGCAGTCCTGTGGCTTTGCGATTGGCCTTCTGGGCTGCAGCTGCCCACTGCCTGCTCATGTCCAGCTTCTCGTCCACCAGCACCCCCAAGTCCCTTTCCTCAGGGCTGCTTTCCAACACCTCACCCCCTAGTTTGTATTGGTATCAAAATGCTCAAGAGAGGAATTTGGAGAAACAAAAGATGTCCAGAAATCCCTGCTGTTCAATCAGGTGTTATTGGCTGGTTTGGTGTCCCCCACACCGATGTGATGGGAATCAGCTTCTCTTAAAATAAAATTTATGTACAAAGATACATTTTTCATCTGTACCAGAACTTTTCCCTGCTCACTGCCACTAAGGTGTGGGTAAAAGCCACACTATATCCACAGCACAGGTTTCACTTCTCTTTCAGTTAAAACAATTGGAAGTGAGTCCAGATTCAGTCATTTCACGTGTCTCAGACTCCCTGGGTATGGAAAATAAAGAGGAAACTGCTGACTGATTCTGAACGGCTTCCTTAGGGAAGGAAATACAACTAAGGAAGGGAAAGAGCACTGAGAGTTAAGAATAAAATTATGGAAGAGTAACTAAGCTTCCTTAAGAGCTGCAAAGTAGCATTGGCTGCAAGAGCTAAAGTGGGAAAACCATGAGGATGTGTTCAAACTCATCCTCGGGATGGGGGAGAGACCTGAAGGAAAGCTCAGAGCCCAGGGAGGAAGGGTGAACCTGCTTCTGTTTCTAGTAAGAGGAAAATAAAGTTGTTTTCAGTTCAGTAGCATAAAGAACAAATGAAACTGTTGTGGGTGGAACTCCAGAGACAAAAGATTTACTGGTACTCTTGGCTGAAAGGGTGGAGGGAGATGCTTCTTGCAAATACTCCTGAGAAATAATCAGCACAAATTCCTCAAATTAAGGCAAAATCAGGTAATAAGGTTCCTCAGGTTTCTCTCTTTCCCTCTGGAAGTACAAGACATGGTTAGATCTGCTTTGAGAGGCTGCAGGTGTCCTCTGTCAAACTCCATCAGTGGTCCAATGGTATAAATACTAATTTGGAAGCTCAGAAGGATTGCAAGGACTAACTCCATCCAGGGGGAGAATTGGAATGCTTCCGTTCTGCCAGGGACTCTTTGGAAAAATCTCAGAAATCACCTATAAACTCCCCATTGTACTTTGTTTCTCCTCTGTAACACTAATACTAACATTATTATTAATAAAATGTAACAATAGTATTAACGATTAATAATTAATGTAATGATAATAGTAACAATAATGGATTAATTGGTCACAATAACACATCTCATTGTCTTTTGCAAAAGCAGGCCCTGAGGAGCCAGCCTGGTGTGAGAGCTGCTGAGTAAATCCCAGTGAAGAACAGGTATGTGAAGCTTAAATTTCCTGCTCTGAAGCTGAACTCAGGAGGTGATTACAACCCCTTGGTGTCTGCCCCAAAGTGCAGTGTGGTCCAGCTTCCAATATCCTTTGACTGAGAGGCACCCACAGCAGCGAATAAGGTGGCACTGATGAGATGAAAAACGTTGAAAATTAGCCTTCAAATAAGCTTGTCAGCATTGAGGTGAGGATAGGGTCATGGTCTGCTCAGATACTAATCTGCCTTGCTAGGGAATTTTGCAGAGCTGCTCAGTGGGGCTTGGGGTGGGTTGTTTCAGGCATTTTTTCCCCCCACAAATCAGCTTGTGGGTTAGGGTCTCCCTCTTTAACTCAGATGTTTCTTCCTTACCTGAAGGAATTCAAACTGGTCTTTCCTGCCTCCCAGGCAAAGGTGTTCTGAGCTCAGGTTCTCAGTTATTCCCATCGAAGCTGTCCTGTTTTACATGAGAAAGTTTCACATTTATAGAAAAAAAGAACCAAGGCACAATCTGTAGCTACAGGGGAGGAACAACCACAGGAGAACAGGCACCTCCAGCTAACGCTCACACTTTTTAAATATTCACTGGAATCAAAATTTCATGCCAAATTAATTCTATGCTCATGTACTCTCCGTTCCTCTCCTGCAATTCTGCCAACCTGGCCACTTATGCCAATAAGAGTCCAGTTTTATTCTGTCTCCTCCCTTCTCCTTCCCCAACATCCCAAATATGCTGGTACATAAGTAAATACCAGAGTACAGTAAATATCTCATTCAACACGTTGCTTTAAACTTTCTGGACACCACCAGGCTCGATTGCAAAATTGCCCGAAATACTGGTTCTTGTGGGCCATCTAGTGGTAAAAAACAGAGTAGTACAAAGAGAAAACCATTTCAAATTATTACTCCTGAAAGATGTTTTAATATAAATTGCAAGACACACAGGGTTACCTTGCTGGTCAGTGGATGTTTTCCCCCACACAGCAGGAAGCAAGATGATCAGGCTCATAAGCCGTACGCTGAATGCGCCGAGAGTATGGCCACAGGCTCCTTTTCTTCTCCCTCCAGCATTAATCCTAAAAACCGTTAGAAGTTCTGTCTGAACAATCAAAACACATTGTAAATCAGAGAAGTCGTCCACTGAAACTTCTTGAAAACAGATTTTTAAACCCTCTGTTGGGCGACTGCTAGCCAGGTCTAGGTTAGAGAATCACATGGGGTTGGAAGGGACCTCTGGAGATCATCTAGTCCAACCCCCTGCCAGAGCAGGTCCACCCAGAGCAGGTTGCTCAGGAACTTGTCCAAGTAGGTTTTGAATGTCTCCAGAGAAGGAGACTCCACCACCTCCCTGGGATGCCTGTTCCAGGGCTCTGCCACCCTCAAAGTAAAGAAGTTCCTCCTCATGTTTAGGTGGAACTTCTTATGTTCGAGTTTGTGCATTCAAGGTTTCAACAGTTCGCTTCTGACTAGAGAAGAACTTGACAGAACATGTCAGGTATCCTAACAAACAGACAGCAGCTCTCATTTCACTCAACATTGCAGACAGCTTTGCTTGCAGCTCTCGGAGCCCTGAGGGTACCCACTGTCTCTGCAACCCCTTCCCACCTTCACAGGGCTTTGGTTGCTGACACTGTGCCTGGGATGAGCCTGCTGTGACAGGACCACATGAGAAGAAGCTGGGGGCAACCTTGGAAGCTTCTGCCCCTTGGCTCAGCAGCCACATTTAAGCTCAGGCTCTAAGAGTGGGGTTCCTCCCTGAACTGTGCTGTAGGTATGTCCATGCCGGGCCATGGACCTCACTCACCCTGACCTGCCTTGTTGAGACAACCACACCAAAGGGACACAGGTTGCAGTCCCCTCCTGATTTGTGACTGTCACAGATGGAAATAAAAACACAATGACTGTTAATGCTCCCTCTGTGGGATTTAAAAGGGGACAAAATACACATCTGCTTGAATAAAGATTTATTTCATGTCTCATAGAAAAATCATTAGTGCCATCAAACAAGGCTTTACAAGATAAAGAATATAAAGGAAAAGACACATACAAATTGTAATACAATCACTGCTCCCTCACCATATTACACACAATATTCCTTACAGTTGCACACTTAGGAACTAATTACTGCCATTCGCAATTAGCAGACATTTCAGTTGCAAGATTGATCCCTGTTTTTAAAGCTAAATCCTGCCCTCCTTTACTTAGGCAAGTTCTTGGGGCTCTTCTGAAGAGCTCAGCTTGACTAAGTAGAAGACTGGACTTGGTTTGTAACCATCTCAGCTACTACACTTACGTGCAACTGCAGAGCATAATCCTCTTTTTACTCTTGGCTCCACTCAGCTAATAGAGTTAATATAATAAAGTCCCCTATATTAAAAAAAGAGTTCCATTTACTGAATTTAGCTGGTCTGATAAATGTAGAAATAATCTGAAATATCACGTGTTGACGTTTGTAATTACCTGGTAGTGTCTTTCTGGTAGTCACAGTTAATGTTGCTTTATAGTTTTCTAACTAATGCATTTCACATTCTCTTAGGCAGTTGTTTCACGATAAAGAACAAGTTATAAAGAGTCCTTTCCTTGAAAAACCTGAGAAATGTACCAGCTTTATTCAGATGTGGTACTTGAGCATATAAGGTACTACAAAACAGAGCTGAGGTACAAGGCTGAATTCTTCCTAAGCTTCAAATCCCCACTGATGTTCAGAGAGTTTGGAAGCTGTGCAATAGAGGAGAGTTGTATTTGATTGTCTCATCTCGGTTCCTTTTTTGGACATCACACAAAACCACTGAGCAAAATTTTCACCAAGTGTGCAGCAAAGAAAAGACCCAAAAAAAAGAAAAAAGGCATCACAGTGTATAGACTGCAACTGCTGTTACCACGTTATGTCAACATCAATAGGTTTCTCATATACATTCATCTGCTGTTTGATTTCTAGCACCATTAAAATATCCAACAAGACAGAAAGAAACTACTCTCTTCACTAAGGTAATGCCAAACTACCTCTGGACTCAAAGGGAGAATTCTATCAGTAGCTACAGAAAAAGCCAGATGATGGAAAGGAAACATTAAGTTTTACATTCTTTTAAATAGAAAAAAAATGGCTGTCTGCATCTCCTATCTGTCTGCTGACTCCAGCTACTCTTAGACAAAATCCTGGAGGACATATAAAGTTGAATTTGAAAAAAACAGAAAGTGGAATCAGCACTAAACTGTGCCCTCCAAACTTACTTACTTCACCTGATATTTGCAATGCAGAGTTTTACACTGCATCCTTGTATTTATGTAGACATCACAAGGCATAAGCACTCCCAAACAACATTGAACGTATAAGAGAAACAGCGTCACAAATGGGATATAAATGTGCTTTTTAGGCAAAAATGTCTCTTTGCTATCATACCTCCTTATGATGTTGTTTTTTTCCAAATGACCAAATAGTCCCTGTCAAGAACTGTCAAGTACATGCACATATTTACAACAAACCCAAGATCAGAAATCTCATTTGTTAAATCATTTGGAAAGGGTAAGATTTTATAAGGAATGTACTGAAGCCTCTAGTGCTATCATAGTCCACAACATTTTACAAAGATAACTCTTACATTTTAAAATACATGAATACAGTGTTTTTCCTGTAATAACCTGATTATTTCCCAGTTTATAAGCACAATCAAGACCTCTTCCCTGGAAGAAAAATGCTTTTTTTTCCTGTAGCTTGCCTTAAAATGTGATACACAACAATTATTATGTTACAGAATGTAAATTTTTATATTAATGGTCCAACAGCACAGAAGAAACACAGGATAAATCATTGTAAAGGAAGAGAACTGTTCTGGCTTTCTGTCACGTGCAGATTAAATTCTGGAATGCTGGCAAGTAATTCCACTTATAAATAGCAACACCGCACCTTTGACACAACGCTCAATCAAAAAAATAGATTTGCTCAAACGGAGAAAATGTTCCTGTATAAATTGGAGTATAATTATAAATCAATTCTTTTGTTTCCTCATCTTCACTGGGGAAATGGTGTAGGCTCTTCCGGGCTGTAAAACATTGTAAAAGTACAGATCAGTTCACCCTTACCCTCTTTGACAGTATCTTTCTCAAGAAAGTAAGTTATTATTAAATAGAATTACAGTAACTACTACGTGAAGAACTGTGAAGATACATCTTCAGAAAGCTGGTTACCCCAGTATTTTATTACGGGGGTGTTACATCCAATTTCTCACAGGGGAGGGAGAAATTTTATTACTAATTTAAAGCCAAGACTGCAAAAAAAAATATATATTTATTCATGAGATATTGGCAGTACCTACCAGAGACACCAGTACTTGTAACACTAAAAGAAATGCAGAGTATCAGCCTACTGAAAGCTGCAGTGTCAGCCTGGACTGTGCTGGTGAGGGCAACAAAACCTGAATCCTCCTCTGGTTTATCGTGTTGATCAGAGTTATCAGCCTACTGAAAGCTGCAGTGTCAGCCTGGACTGTGCTGGTGAGGGCAACAAAACCTGAATCCTCCTCTGGTTTATCGTGTTGACAACTCTACACAAATTAACATGGATCGACATGAAAATGATATTTCACTAGAATGGTTTAGTTATTAAGTGACCATAGATAAGTATATTTTTACCAGCTGAAAGCAGTTCACATTTTTCACCCTGTGGTTTATTTGCAAAGTTAAGGAAGACACTCTGCCTTAATTAGCTAAAAACATGGAATACTCATTGCAATGTAACAATATGAATCACTCAGTAGGAGCAGCTGTACACAGACTGGAGAGGTAATGCAGAGTAACACATGATTTGCTATGTAGACACATACAGCTGCCTGACACAAGGTTGTTCTACTACAACTGAAGGTCCACAGATCCAAAAATGACTTTTTTTGTGTGTATACATATATATAAAAAGCCACATGCACTGTGGGTCTCACCAGGACTTGCAAGCAGAGCTGGCACTTACTTTGCCACATTTACTTGGATAAAGGCCTGTGCAACCTCACTTCTGCCCGTAACACAGTGTGCAGACAGATACTAAAGAATGTGGCAAACAAAACTAGAAAACATGCATAACAGTGTGCAGACAGATACTAGAGAATGTGGCAAACAAAACTAGAAAACATGCTGCATTCTTGTATTAGAGAAAAAAAAAAAAAAGACTTATACTAATACTATGCTTTCTCCTATTTTCCCCTTTATTTTTGTCTAAGTCTCTCATAAGTACCCAATCAAAATTCTTAAAATAAAGCTTATGGACACTGACAAAGAATTTTATGTGATTTTGCTGCCTCTTCACAAAGCAGAGTAGAACTACATTATGCAAAAGAGCCTTAAACTTGTATGAAGCGCAACTTTTATTTCTATACCCTCACTGACCAGGTCAGCACAAGTTGTATTTCTTTAAATCACTGTCTGCTTTCTCCAATTAGGTGAGTCTTGATTAGAGATGAACTCGAGAGACCAAACTCAATTAGGTTATTGATTATGTTCTTCATAGTCCAAATCAATCTTGTGGGATGATTTCAGAAATAGTCCATTTAAAATATGAAAATGGTATTTCAGCAGAAGGGTTTAGTAAGTATAAATAAAGGAATAAAAAAAGCTGGATCCCTTCCAATACTCTTGCATTTATATCCTGCTTATTTATAGCAAATAGACCAGAAGTGTCATAAATTATCAAAATTTTACATATTAAGTTACTTCCAGCTTCCTAGGCTATAAACAAACAAATTAGAAGCTCTGTAAAATTCAAAAACTTATTGTGCTGTCTAGAGTATACAACTTGGGCACTATATTGCACCCCTTTGATATATCCACATACTGCCCAAGCAGCATTCATCACCTCGGTGCAGATATTTTGCAAGCAAAAACTGAGAATACACTGAATGACTTTAACTCAGTTTGGAACTGAAGAAACCTCTGGAATTATGAATGGAGTATTATTTTTTTTTATTTAATTATCTTTGTAGAAGGGAGGCTAAAAATGTTACACTGATCATTCAAAATGATAGAAAGTCACAGCACAAACCAGACTTTTGAGCCAGCTTACTGAAAAGAGTTTGTGGAATGCCTGGCCTTTTGATGTCACTTTTACTAAGCCATTCTATTTCTAGTATCCCTTGGTTTTTTTATAAGCCTATAAAGCTTGCAGAGTAATCTTCTCAGAAAGCAGTAAGAGGTACTGAACTTTGACAACCGAAAAAGAGCTCTGTCTTCTTCAAAGATTTTCACCGACCTTTCACTCTAAAAACTGACATTTATAGATTATAAACTTTTTTACCTTCATTAACGAAGAAGTCAGCTATATAATAGGCTGCTTTTACAGCTGATGGAGAATGTGGAATGCCAGGTGAATTCTTCCACTCAAAAAGGTTTTTCTCTGGGTGCCACTGGACACCATAAATTGGGTATTGATACGCTGCAACAAACACAAAGCACGTAAGCAAGGTCTATACTTTAAGAATTATATGCTTATTCTAACTGCAAAAGAAACTCAAAGGATAAGCTATAAAAATACTTCACTCATCAACAGTTTCACAGAGTCTTAAATAGCAAGTTGAAAGGCACAGCAGAACTGAAGGACCTGGACTGTGCTGGTGAGGGCAACAAAACCTGAATCCTCCTCTGGTTTATCGTGTTGACAACTCTACACAAATTAACATGGATCGACATGAAAATGATATTTCACTAGAATGGTTTAGTTATTAAGTGACCATAGATAAGTATATTTTTACCAGCTGAAAGCAGTTCACATTTTTCACCCTGTGGTTTATTTGCAAAGTTAAGGAAGACACTCTGCCTTAATTAGCTAAAAACATGGAATACTCATTGCAATGTAACAATATGAATCACTCAGTAGGAGCAGCTGTACACAGACTGGAGAGGTAATGCAGAGTAACACATGATTTGCTATGTAGACACATACAGCTGCCTGACACAAGGTTGTTCTACTACAACTGAAGGTCCACAGATCCAAAAATGACTTTTTTTGTGTGTATACATATATATAAAAAGCCACATGCACTGTGGGTCTCACCAGGACTTGCAAGCAGAGCTGGCACTTACTTTGCCACATTTACTTGGATAAAGGCCTGTGCAACCTCACTTCTGCCCATAACAGTGTGCAGACAGATACTAGAGAATGTGGCAAACAAAACTAGAAAACATGCTGCATTCTTGTATTAGAGAAAAAAAAAAAAAAGACTTATACTAATACTATGCTTTCTCCTATTTTCCCCTTTATTTTTGTCTAAGTCTCTCATAAGTACCCAATCAAAATTCTTAAAATAAAGCTTATGGACACTGACAAAGAATTTTATGTGATTTTGCTGCCTCTTCACAAAGCAGAGTAGAACTACATTATGAAAAAGAGCCTTAAACTTGTATGAAGAGCAACTTTTATTTCTATACCCTCACTGACCAGGTCAGCACAAGTTGTATTTCTTTAAATCACTGTCTGCTTTCTCCAATTAGGTGAGTCTTGATTAGAGATGAACTCGAGAGACCAAACTCAATTAGGTTATTGATTATGTTCTTCATAGTCCAAATCAATCTTGTGGGATGATTTCAGAAATAGTCCATTTAAAATATGAAAATGGTATTTCAGCAGAAGGGTTTAGTAAGTATAAATAAAGGAATAAAAAAAGCTGGATCCCTTCCAATACTCTTGCATTTATATCCTGCTTATTTATAGCAAATAGACCAGAAGTGTCATAAATTATCAAAATTTTACATATTAAGTTACTTCCAGCTTCCTAGGCTATAAACAAACAAATTAGAAGCTCTGTAAAATTCAAAAACTTATTGTGCTGTCTAGAGTATACAACTTGGGCACTATATTGCACCCCTTTGATATATCCACATACTGCCCAAGCAGCATTCATCACCTCGGTGCAGATATTTTGCAAGCAAAAACTGAGAATACACTGAATGACTTTAACTCAGTTTGGAACTGAAGAAACCTCTGGAATTATGAATGGAGTATTATTTTTTTTTATTTAATTATCTTTGTAGAAGGGAGGCTAAAAATGTTACACTGATCATTCAAAATGATAGAAAGTCACAGCACAAACCAGACTTTTGAGCCAGCTTACTGAAAAGAGTTTGTGGAATGCCTGGCCTTTTGATGTCACTTTTACTAAGCCATTCTATTTCTAGTATCCCTTGGTTTTTTTATAAGCCTATAAAGCTTGCAGAGTAATCTTCTCAGAAAGCAGTAAGAGGTACTGAACTTTGACAACCGAAAAAGAGCTCTGTCTTCTTCAAAGATTTTCACCGACCTTTCACTCTAAAAACTGACATTTATAGATTATAAACTTTTTTACCTTCATTAACGAAGAAGTCAGCTATATAATAGGCTGCTTTTACAGCTGATGGAGAATGGGGAATGCCAGGTGAATTCTTCCACTCAAAAAGGTTTTTCTCTGGGTGCCACTGGACACCATAAATTGGGTATTGATACGCTGCAACAAACACAAAGCACGTAAGCAAGGTCTATACTTTAAGAATTATATGCTTAGTCTGACTGCAAAAGAAACTCAAAGGATAAGCTATAAAAATACTTCACTCATCAACAGTTTCACAGAGTCTTAAATAGCAAGTTGAAAGGCACAGCAGAACTGAAGGAAAAAAATGGATATTCTAAAAGAAGGGCTGCATTCCATGCAAGAAGATTTTTGTCCATCATAGAATCATAGAATTGCCCAGGCCGGAAGGGACCTCCAAAGGTCATCTAGTCCGACCTCCCCGCAGTCAGCAGGGACCCCCCCAACTAGACCAGGTTGCCCAGGGCCTTGTCGAGCCTCTCCTTGAATATCTCCAGGGATGGGGCCTCAACCACCTCCCTGGGCAACCTGTTCCAGTGCTCCACCACCCTCACAGTAAAGAACCCTCTCCTATCTCCAATCTAAATCTGTTCCCCTCCAGCTTAAAGCCATTGCCCCTCGTCCTGTCACTGCAGGCCCTTCTAAACAGGTTCTCCCCAGCCTTCCTGTTATTCACTTTTATTGGATTATTCATTTCAGAATTAATATTTATATATTAAAAAATAATGCTACGAATGTATCGGTCTCAAAACTTCCTATCTACAGCCAACATCACTCAACCCAAAATATTCACAGCCACATGGGGTATCCCTGGCAGTTCCATGGGTCAGATCCAAGGCCAGGATCTCCCTGATAGCCCAGTAGATCCAGGGGCAGCCTCCATTTACTCTGTGCCAGGCCTGACACACCAAGGGGAAGCCAGTCCTTAACTCTCTTCCAGCAGCTGATGACCGCTCCACGATAAGCCGCTCGCAGGCACGGGGAGATGTCTGTCATTAGCCTAATCAGGTTTTCTGATCAAAGTGCTGTTCCTCTGCTCTGGAGGACAGCCAGCTTGCCTCATGGAAGAATCCCATGGGCCTTACTGCAGAGCTGTTAGTAGTGCACTGATTTGAGATAAACCACTCCCTAAAGAGCCAGCTCGTTTCCTGAGCTGAGCGAGCCTGGAGCAAAACACACTCGAGGCAACTTCACACCACAGCACTCAAATATTCCTAACAGGCTAAAGCATAACAGCATATCTGGAAGGGGAACAAGTGGGTGAGGGAAATAATTAATTAGGCTCTCAGATATGTACCCAAAAGATAAAATGCAAACAGAGTACAGGCACAAGTTGGAACATAAGAGGTTCCACTCAAATATGAGGAGAAACTTCTTCACGGTGAGGGTGCCAGAGCCCTGGAACAGGCTGCCCAGGGAGGGTGTGGAGTCCCCTTCCTTGGAGATTTTCAAGACCCGCCTGGATGCTCCTGAGTAACATGCTCTAGCTCTAGGCAATCCTGCTTCAGCAGGGGAGTTGGACTAGATGATCTCTATGGTCCCTTCCAACTCTAAAATTCAGTGAAATTCAGTTCCTCACAGCCAGAGCACCGGCAGGGCTGATGCTCACCCTGCTATTGGGACAGCAAGCTCGTGGTACAAATTACATCAATGTCAAAGCACCTCAAAAGAACTAGTTTGTTACAGTCACAGTTGACAAAGGGAATTCATTTCCCTACCTTCCATGGTAGATATAAACTCCACTTCACCATCCGTGTTAGTGGTCAGAACATTATAGAAATTACGAAGCTTTTCGTTCTTGGTGAAATTCTGTCACAAGGAAGGGGAAAAAAAAAAAATACATATGTTATTTGCTGACTTATTTCTAGGTTTAACAGACCAAATGCATCTGTGTTCAGGAAATAAAATGATCAAATACCTCCATGGAGAGGCTCCACTTATGAAAGTTTGATGTCAATGGCTCAGTAGCAAACGCGTGTAATACATCACCAGGGAAGTTCCTGAATAATCTACTGTTTTTTGCACCTATTACAATGAAAAATGAAAAAAGGATATTGTCCATTACCCGAGTTGCTAACAGATGGACTAATAACTGAACAGGAGACAAATTTAATAGAATACTGTATTAAAGTAAACTTTTTTTCTGTAGTATAACTTTATGATTTTAGAATAGGTGGCAAGGAAAAAAAAAATAAATCAAAAATAAATCAGTGAAATAACAGGTTTCCAATATGCTATTACCACTGTCCTCCAGTCTTGACCCAGAGAGGAGCCAACAAGTTTCCACTAAAACAAGCATCATTCTTTACCACTCATTTCAGTCACCTTCCCATTCACAAGGAGTACAAGTGACAGAATTTGTGAATGCTCCATGGTCAACAGATGGATTACTCACAAATTAAATGATAAAGTACCAACAGAGGCCACATTTTACCAGTGTTGCTGAGTGGCACAGCTCTATCTTAAGGGATCTCTCTGATTTCAACCCTGAGCAAGTGGGACGGTGATGTTAATATTCATTATTAGGAAAGATGAGATTTGAAAAATTTAAAATCACCTGCTCTTCGAGTTTGATAGGTTTTGGACCCAGGAACAGTTCAACTTGGTAACAAAAAGGGATCTAAATCCACATTATTTCTGTAGGTCCAAATTATCAACTGACTCAAGGAGCCACAACTGTGGTTTTTGCTGACTGCTGTTAGTTCCACGTGGCTCGTGCTCACATCTCTGCTTTCAAGTGACAGAGTTGTGCTGCCTTTTTTTTATAAAGTCATGGCAACTTAGTAAGAAAGAATTTAACAGGATAATCATCAGAAACCTCCCAAATATTCTTCCCTGCATATTTATCACAACTAAAACACAACACCCCTCAGCAAAACTCAGACACGAGACGTAATGGATTTTTCACCTGAGGTGAAGTTCAGAGGGAGGGCAAACCCTTGTGTCTTGGTGTTAACAAGTAAAACTTTGCCGCTTGTGAGATACGTAAGCTCCTCGTGTCCAAGGCATGTTCCCCATACTGGGAAATAATCTCCTTTGTCGTTTGCCTTCAAAATAAAAAACAACAGCATCACAAAAAAGTACTAAAGATTTACAGAAAGAAGACTGAAGAGGACTTCCTACTCTTTCTGCTTGCTCTTGTGTAGCTGAGAAGCAAACCTACTACAGCAGTACAAATTGCCACCAGAGGAATTGTAACAGTTCAATTACAACTGAAATAACCACTGACTCCCTTAGTTTTTCTCCTACAATATGATGGCTAGGGGATATACACATGCCTATTAAAGCAGTAAACTCACCCTAATGTTGATATTAATTTGATTGTTCTGTTCTATGAATAAGTAATGTCGAGAGCAGCCTAAAGAGAAACCACAAAACGACAGCGTTTCTATAAAAAAGGCAATAGGAAGAAGGGACATAAATCAATCTGTCACCATTTGGAAAGTCTATTCATTACAATTCACACTTTTATTTGAAGCACTTTATGGTCCCTTTACAGCAAGGGCCCTTTACAACGTCCATATGCCTTTGCCCACCCATCTGTATTAAGAAAACATAAATCCTGTTACTAGCATGGCTAGGGCATTAAGGGACATACTGATGTGCCTTTTTAACTAGCAGGTCTGGACCTGTGTTCCAGAAAGATAAATGTTGAGTTTAAACAACATAAAAAAGGGATAATCGTTTTCAAAAGAATAAAAATTGGCAGGTGAGTGCAAAAACGAGAGAAGAAAGCAAAAGGGAGAAAAGGAAAGCAAAAAGAGCAATCAGCTTCTTGTCGCTTAACAAAGCACAGTGCATGCACACAGTAGAAATTTGCATTTTTGTGTGGTTTATTCCTGATCGTAAGGGTATGTTAGAGGCTGGAATGTTTCAGAACTCTTGTTTTGGTGAAATCTGAGTAGCCTTTCTTAACTTGTTTTCTAAACATTTTTAAGTTATGCATAAAACCCCACCCCACGTCCAGCCCCCGAAGAGCTGCTTCTTAAAAGTCATTTTTGAGAAAGCTGAAATTACAGGCTTGGAATAAAAATGTTACCCTGCTGCATTACTGTGAAATGGTAATAAAAGGCAATATAAGCACTTCTTGGAGCAAAACATGGAAGATTTGCAGAAAGAAGGCTAATAGTACTGCAGGGTCTTCATGACCACCCATCACACACGGCTAGAGACACAGGACTTGCAACTCCACTGTCTTTCTTTTATGTAAGGGAGGAATAAAACCACTAATGGCAAAAAAATGGACTACAGTTTAAGTACAATTACAACTAAACTGTAAACTTTTTGTGCCCCTGCCCTTTTTTTTAAATAAACATTAGCTTGGAGGCTAAGCGTAGATTGAAAAACAGCCAAGACATCACATTTTAAAAACTAATTTAAAAGCTAAGAACAGTATTTCAATGTAGGTTTTTGTGTGGCTAATAAATTTCTATTGACTTGTATTGGGATTAGTTTTCACGTCTTGATGTTAAAGCAGAGTGAGACCAAGCCATTTCCCATCGTGAACGTTTGAAAATGAAGAGAAAAGGAGACCTCACACACTTTAAATAAAAAAAAATTCAGTCAGTTCTGTACCTGCTAATATAATCTGTCATAATATAACAGTCACTGTTGTAGCTCACTTTATATTAGTGAAACTGCCAATATTTTATAGTGTTGACTAGGTCTCAAAAGACGAAGATCAGAATACACAACCATCACAAACAACAGAAACAAATCCAGCTTATTATTATGGGTTAACTATGATGAACCCAAAAATATTTTCTGCCTTTCACTCACCTGAAGTGCACGTACCACCTAAGAAACCTGTCTCTCCCATCATAAAATTACGACAGAAGCAATTCAGTTGATCGTTGTGAAACGTCAACAGAATTTTGCAAGAGTTCTGCAAACCACAAGAAACCCTCCTCCCGACAGCGAAGAGCGAGACACAGGCTGCACTTGACACAGCCAGCAGTTTCCAAGAGACAAAGGAGATTAATTGTCTTACATAAAAGCCAGAGAGTTCTTTGCAAGATTCAGGTTGAAGGCACAGACTTAACAATCACCACGAATAAAGACAAAGACAGACAAAAGAATATACGACATCGGTGCCCTGAGGATTGAAGAGTAGGAAGGGTAATTAGCGACTTGCAGCAGCTGATTGGTCCTGTGAATGCCACTGCCTTCCCTGCTGCTTCTGCACTGCCCTGCAGCCAGGGCAGAAGAGGAATTCCTCACTGCCAAGGAGCACTTCTACCATGGTAACACAGAATCGAAATGACATCGGTGCCCTGGGGATTGAAGAGTAGGAAAGGTAATTAGTGACTTGCAGCAGCTGACTGGTCCTGTGAATGCCACTGCCTTCCCTGCTGCTTCTGCACTGCCCTGCAGCCAGGGCAGAAGAGGAATTCCTCACTGCCAAGGAGCACTTCTACCATGGTAACACAGAATCATACAATGTTTTGGGCTGGAAGGCACCTTAAAGATCATCGGTACAATGTTTTGGGCTGGAAGGCACCTTGAAGATCATCGAATCTTTAAGGTTCAACAGTTTAAGCACTACTCGTGACTGGCTCTAGAATTGGGCAAAGTTTTTCAAAGTATGACTTCTGTGACAATTTTAATCAACACTAGCTGAAAGTAAAATAAATCAGTAGAGAGGAAAGAAAGGAAGAAAATTTACATTTTTACTCAACCTGAATACAGAAGATCCTTAACAAATCTTAAGGATTGTATATAAAGCTCAGTGAATCTCCACTCCTTCCCACAATGCAAATTTTACTTCAAAATGTGTTGATTACTATCTGAAAAAAACCACCTCTCTTGCTCTAAGAAAATTAAATCTTCAAGAAGGATCCAGAACCTTCCTGGTGTTCTTGGAAAGAAATAGCTTTCCCATAAATTCAATCTTTTCTTAATAAAGCTAATGACATATAAATGTTACAAAATAATTAATATAACCTTTCAAGTGTTCTTCCCACCTTTTTCATGTTATAAATTAAGCTAGTGCTTATTTTTAAAATCTGTTCTATTTATAGTTACCAATGCAACGAAATAGGTAAAATGGTATAACATACTAATGTAGATCCCTTACCTGCACCTCCAAAGATACATTTAAATCTACTTATAGATAAGTGAGAATAAACGTGTTTCACTAGCTGTAACATATATTTGGAGGGAGGCCTAAATGTCATATTATTGTGAATTGGTTTCTTTGAGAGTCTCTCTAGAATTCCTTCTGAGTCTAAACTTTAGTTGTGAGACTTCTACAAATGATCACATTTATGTTATCTCTTTGTTCAACGTTTAATGGTAATGGACATTCTGGGCTTTTGGAAGGAATTATTCTTACTTTATTGCAAGTCCCACACAGCCACAAAGCTGTAGGTACAATGAATGAATGATACTGTTCTCACCCCAAAGATCTTGGGAGTTTAAGACCATGACACAACACAGAACAGGAGAGGGTGTCAGAAGCCTGAATCTTAAGATAGGAAATGATTCTTTATCAGAAGCCAGCAATCAGCTACTTATTATCTGGCTCACAGTTAGCACACTGAATGCCAATGGAAAACTACGAAAATATGAGCCTCCCTGTCATTTTGATCTCTGAGCAGTGACAATAACAAGAACAGACTGTTCCTTAGTAATTACCTCTAATGCCTTGTGGTAAAATATCTTAGCAACCCTGGAATATTCTGAAGTCTTAAGATCCACACCACCTCCTGGAAAAAGTACCCTGAAAGGCAACATCCAAGAATCTGATTAGCAACGGTGATCAAAGTGAAACCTGGACAACGTGCACAGAGAAAGGAGTGACAGTGGTTTTAAGGGGAGGATCCAGGTCTAGGTTAAGACATCCACATTTCAGAAATCTACAGACAGGAATCTAAAGTTCCCTTATGGACAGCAGGGAGCTAGTCAAGAAAGTCACTGGAGACTCGAACAGGTTTTCTAGAGAGGACACCCACCTGGTCAGTAGGTTGAACAGCCCTGGAGGCTTCACTGGCTGTACTTATTAGCACTCCATTAATTATGTGAGTTTAGACAGCTATCGTGCACACAAACAGCTAAGTTTAGGTGTCTTAGTTTTTAACTGAATCATATCCTAAATCTTCACGTTCTTCTACTGAAGAATGGTCACTATCACAAAGTAGTTACTGAGCCCAGTGCAACGTAAGGAAGGGGAGAGTAAACAGAAAATACACAAAACATACAGATTTCAGCTGGTATGCAAAAGGGTCTGTCAAATCCTGCCCTGACTCTTAGCTGGCTCTCCCTACCACTTTAAAATCCTGGCCCCAATCTTAATTCATCCTGTTCCATTTCAGTAAAGAAGAATTGTGGAAAATGAACATAGCTGAAGGTATTTTCAAAACAGGCCAGATTATAGATTTCTACAGAGATCTAGTTAGACAAAATAAGGTGATCCTTATATGGAAGTGGAAGAAAATTCACTTCACCTGTTCCTTTTGTTCAACCCCCAAAATGGCCAATATTAATTAGGAAAAACAATTGTCATTTCTCCTAACGCAAAAAGGAAATAACCCATTAAGTAGCAATGATAATGGCTTGACATTGTCCTACGCAGACTGAAATGCAGCTACCCATATTCCAGTATCTCTGATTAGAGCTGCTGATGTTCACTGTGAATTTCAAAGGAGTACATTCATAAAATTCTGTCTCTACTATAGTAAATTTCATGATTTCAAGAAGGTGGTCTTCAATGATAAATAATTTCCAACTGCAAAGAACCCAGAACCAAGCTCTTACAACATGAAAGATCAATATATCTCTTTCTTAGTCTAACTTTCCACAGAATGAAAAGTCCTTCCCTCCAGAGATTTTACTTGTTGTTTACACACAGCTACACGGTGGCAGCCATTAGCCAACAGGGTAACAGGAGGAAATACAGACCATCCTTAGTCACCTACATAGGACAAACCCAGCTGCCAGTAACTGCAAAGACAGAAGGATACGGGAACTGGATCTACTTGCCTAACACCCTCTTCTGCTTTGAGGGAGAAAGAAATGGGAGACCCCATTGGTCTTCTGGCACCCAAAGAGAGGCTGGCAGCCATGAGAAAGGGATGAAATAATTCATTTTGCCTCCAACATGAGAAGCCACAAAGTGTCACCATCTTATCCTTGCTGGTTACCACAAGACTGTAGAGACCGATGTCTTAAGAGAACAGGGCGTGCCGAAGAGGTCAATGCTCTCCCCAGACACCCACAGGTCTAAATTTGCAAGCTCTACACCTGTTGATTAGCATTCTAGTACATGCATAAGCTTAAAAAAAATATTCATGGTTTAAGATGCTCATCTTGTGACTACAAGTAGCGCAATCACATGCTGTGGCTCACACACCATCAAGCCTGAGAAGCTTGATGGTTAAATCAGCTGATTTAACTCTTCTAGAGCGCGCCGTAGCACAAGGCAAACATAAAAGGTTTCGACTTGCCTTAGTCCACAATTAAAATGCCTCAAATTAGATCACACTATCCCACATTTAAAATGCAGGAAGAACGCGTGGGTGGACAGTTGCCACAGGTCAGCTGAAAAGTTAGAAAGGCCTAAGCCACAGAATCCCAACAAGCCAGACAGACCATTCAAGTAGCAAGAGAGAAAGCACGGAAAGAGAAAAGAATCATTTCATAGAATCATAGAATCGTCTAGGTTGGAAGAGACCCTTGGGATCATCGAGTCCAACCATCTACCCTACTCTACAAAGTCCTCCCCTACACCATGTCCCTTAGCACTGCATCTAAATGGCCCTTAAACACAGCCAGGGATGGTGACTCCACCACCTCCCTGGGCAGCCTGTTCCAATGCCCGAACCCTCTTTCAGTGAAAAATTCTTTCCTAATGTTCAATCTAAACCTACCCTGTTGGAGCTTGAAGGGTAGAAGAGATGGGAAATCAGAAACTTCTATGATAGAGGAGAAACGGAGAAGGCTGGAACAGGGAAGAAGGGGTAGGAACAGTGATGAAACTCACAGCAAGTCCTATTAAATACCGAAATTAAGGTGATCACTCAAATGAGGAAGAGGAAACATTTAAGCAAGAGGAAGCAGGGTATTTCATTTCTAAAGCTGCTAACCGCTGTAACGCCGCTTCTGTGTGCCTGAAGACAAGCACAGGAGAATGCCAAGAGGAGCCCTGGCACTGCTGTGGATTATCTGACACGTGCTCCTCCAGAAAGAAAAGGCAGCAGACACATCAAATGAAACAGTGCTCTCTGTCTTAGAGCCTATTTACATGTCTGCAGTGCTCGGCACAACCTCCCAGGAGAGCAGAAAGACAGTGTACTCGATAGTACGACAGAGCTCAAAACCAGAACTATCACATCTTTCAACAGAAAAATCAGTGCTGAAAACTTACCCATTAATAGAGTGGAATATTTTATCATACACTTCATCTGTAAGATTTAATCTGAAACACCAAGAAAATAGTTAAAGAACACCGATGAAATATACATATTTAACCACCAAAATGTCATCCTTATTGAACGGAAACACAGAAAATGTGTAGAAAGCATGCTTTAAAAAGAGTAAAATAGTCCCAAATCAAATGAAACATTGCACTCGAAACAGCTCTAGTAGAGACTGAGAATCCACAAGACCACAAGTAGAAGCCTATCTGGAGCAGTTCAGGATTAGGTACCCTCAGACCCCTCTGCAGACACTCACTAAATTTAACATTTACATGAGTAGAGTGGTTAATATTTCCTGTGGACCGGCAACTCCGGTTTCCAGTTGACTCCAAGAAGGGCAGAGCTGCATACAGCAGGTCACACCCATCCTCCAGAAAAGATATACTCGAGAGGTGGAAAGATGAAAAAGACCTCAGCACCAGCAAAACATCAGCAAACCAGCACGATGGCCACACTCACACAGAACAGATACACTTTTTGTGTTCAAAGCATCCAGCTTTGCTGCATTTAACTTAGTTGCCCGAATTAGAAGCCTTCGTTCATCTACGAAGCTTCTGGTCAGCAACCATTCTGAAAGCTCCACCAGCTACGTGAGGAACATTGGCTTCTGATTCAGGCACTTACCTGGTGTCCTTACTGGACTGTGTAGATACATCCTGTTGCGATTAGCATCATTTTTAACTTCTGACAATTATAATTTTAACATCTGACTTCAGCACATTTCCTATTTTATAAACAACTGTTGGCTGTGAAGCACTGTCAGTTGCGTTCCTCACTCTTGATACTTTTTACCCAACGACCAAAATACACCACCACATGGAGTTAGTGACCCATAGTTTGAGCAGAACTGGATTTTGATTTCTTCAAGAACTAATGATGGCTTTCCTCCATTAAATGAATTCTGAGACTACAGAATGTGATAGAAGACAATATGTGTATATATATAACTATGTGTGTTTGGGGGCACTATTAATTAGATTGAATATAGCTAATTTCAAAAACCACAGATGCAAATTATGGAACGTAATTTTACAGGCTTAAAAAAAAAGGGTATTTTTGAATATTTGAAGGTTATAAGAAGAAATAATAAAAATTTCATGTTCCGGTCTGCTTTTATTCCGATTTCTAAAACAGCTTGCAAATTGTGGAATCTTCAAACTGTCTTTGAGGAGCTCTAAACACACAGAAAAGCAGCACAACTGCTTGCTGTGCCTCTAAGACGATACCCTTATATCAAACCATTATTACCCACTTGTAAGGATATTAAAAAAATCTACCTTATTGGCACAACTCGGGCACCGGCGGATTCCAAAAACTTCACGTACGAAGCTGCAATATAAGAACTTCCAAATTTGTAGAACTTTTCGAAGCGCCATTCCTGTGACAATACCCCTGGCAGGTCCAAAATAAAGAAAGTTAGCACTACACAAAGAGCAAACGCTAAGCACCCAAAGGAAAACTAAACTCCCGTTTCCTATATGCCGGGTTACAGCGTTACATTTAAAGCCTGACAGAGTTACAAACAATTGAGACAACGGGGGGGCACCGATTCCGATGCCTGGTGACAAGGTAGCGAATACACACACACCATCAACCGTGCTGACTCGATTTTCCCTGCTTTAACTATTTAGGAGTACGGCTTCCCTTAAGAAAATATAACGTAACACCGTTTATAAAAGCTTTAACCCACCCTAGGCTGCAGGCGCCCTTGGATTCCACACAGAAGCCGGCAGGGTTGCAGGTCGGAGCCGTTCCCTCCCTCAGGACAGCGAAGGCGGAGAGCGAGGCCGCCCTGGGCCGGCCGGTAACCCCCGGGCAGCGGCCACCGGCAGCTGAGGGGCCACCGGCAGCTGAGGGACCGCCACCCTCCGGGCCCTCCCCACCTCCCCTTACCGATAATGGGTCTGTCGTTACGCTCCGCCGAGCCGCTCCGCAGGGAGGCTGCGACGGCGCCGCGGAGCAGGAGAAGGAGGACGGCAGCGGCTGCGAAGAGAGAAAGCCCTACGAGGCGCCCCATGGCCACGTCTCCCGTCAGCACGGACCGCTCCCGTCAGCGAGCGGCCCGCCAGCCCCGGTAAGGCCCGCCCGGTGCCGCGGGGCATGCTGGGAAATGTAGTTCCGGCGCGCTACGGCCTGTGTGGAAAAAATGGCGG